GGCTGAATAAATGAGCAGATAAACACAATGAGCTGATGGAGAAATGTTTATTGTGCTCAAGCGAGCTGAGTTACTTTCAGCATGTCCAGCATCCATCCCCAAAGCTAATTCCATGCCCGCTGTCTTCAGGACACCATCCAGGGAGCTGGCGTGGGCTTTGTTCTTTTTCCACGTGCGTCCTCGTCCAGAGGAGAAGCTCAACCTGACGGCGGCCCTTTAAGCTGGGCCGATTTACCAGGGGCCTTGGGGCTTGGGGCTCTTTCCAGCCTCCCCCTCCCCACCTGGCTTCCTGGTCCCCATTGCCCAGTGTGGCGTCCCTGGCTTCCTCTTTGACACTGGGAGCTGGGGGGCTCTTGGAGCAGGATTCTCCTGGACCCAGGGTGGAGGGGACACCAGCCTTCCCCTCACAGCTGCCCTGCTCTTTGGATTCTTAGGTGCGCTTTGGTTTTGATGTGTTAACGTCTCTGAGGTCAAGTGTGTCCCAGCCGGTGGCATCTTGCAGTTGTCTTTGCTGGAACTGAAGTCAGGTTCTCACAGAGGGGGTTGATGCTGGCCTGTGCCACCAAGGACACTTGTATTCTCTGCCTCTGGTTCACAGTCTTGGGGAGACTGCACCCCTCTCTCCACCCAGTGCCATGGTCAAGATGGGCCCCTTGCTCTGCTCCTCCTGTGCAGTGGGGGTTATTTCTTGTTTTCCATACTCTGCACACACACGTCTCTCACATCCTGGGCCCTTATCCATTCGGGGTACATAAAAACGGTACTGTACTTACCATGTAGAGCAGGGTCAGCAGGCTTTTTCTGCAAAAGCCCAGATAGTAAATGGTTTCAGCTCCATCACAGTTATTTAATGCTGCCATTGTAGCATGAAAGCACTATAGACGCTGTGTCAACGAACGGGCATGGCTGTGTTCCAATAAAACTTTATTCACAAACGCAGGTGGCCAGCCAGATCTGGCCTGTAGTCTGGAGTTGGCCGCGCTCTCGCCTCACGCCTCTGAGGTTTGATAAATGCCGTATTCCCTTGAACCTGCCACGCACCCAGCCCCGTGCGGGGGATCCAGCACAGAACCCGTTAGCCACATGTCTGGCCCTCGTGTACTTACACTTTAGCAGGAGAAACCACACACCAGGGAAGAAATAATAAAAGGATTACTTGTGGCACAAATAATCTAGGACATCACGGGGAGAGGGGAGCCACTTGGATAGGGTGGCCAGGTCTGGCCCCACTGCAGAGGTGATAAGCCCCGGGCCGCTGTCTGCAGCACTGTGGCACCTCCAATCCCCTGCCCCAGGGAGAGACCTGAAGGTTAGGTGAAAGGGGCTGAAGAAAGTGTGGCCTTAGCACAGGGCTGCACCATTGAGTTACTGGATATTTTGGGGCTAATCTTGTCATCTACCCTTCTTATTTCAAACCTGTTGTTCTCATCTGTAAATTGGGGACAAAAACATGCGTATTCCTCTCATTGCCCTGCCTCCCCTGCAGGGAGGTGGTGATGGTCCTTCCCCCGGGCTCTGTGTGTCTCGGGGCCAGTCCGGGAACAGAATGGATGGGGCCCTCTAAGTCTGGGTGTTCCTGCAGTCAGATGCAAGGGTCCGGCCAGGTCCATCTTTAGAGGGACTGGGTATCCTAAAGCTGCCCAAGGAGCCGGCACCAAGGGTCACTCGGACCCATCTCGGCTTCCCACAGTCTCCTGGGTTAGCAGCTTCCAGCCGTTCCCATTCCCTCAGGCCCCTGCCCAGGCTGCATGTGGGGGCATCTGAGCAGACGGCAGCTGTCCTGCCCTGCTCTGAACGTCCCTCTGGCCATAGCCCCAGGGCAGAGTTAGCCAAGAGGAGACGAGCTGCCTTTGAAATGAGCCGCACTGTGATTGAGCTTCTTGGCACCAGAAGCTGTTGGGTGACATGGTGTGACTAAGCACCCATGGTGCTCCCTTGTGGCTCCGGCACGCTTTCCAGTCTCCAACTCGTGTCCGCCTGCTCTGGGTGGCCTTTCTCCCCCCAGGCCTGCTCTGCCACTCTGGCCCCTGCCCTTGGCCACCCATGGTATGGGTGGGAGGTGCCCTGCGCTCAGTGGGGCTGGGTCAGGCTGGGGTTCAGGGTCAGAGGGGGCAGTACCTGCAGAAGGCCACAATGCCAATCCCAGCAGCTGGAGCCCTGCTGGGTCCGTGGGGCTTGCCACCCCCAAGGCTCACTCTGCCTGGCAGTCGGCTCCCAGAGTAGAGATCGGTGGCACAAGTCCTGCAGGGTGTTTATTTTCCCCAGGCTCCTCCCCAGGACCATCTCTCGCTCCCCCGGTCTGGACCGTCTCTGGTCGGAGCTGCGGGAGAACTGTCGGGCACACCAGGGCAGCAAGGGGCCCGCGTGCCCCACTAGCGGGAAGGACGCCAGGTACATCTCAGCGCCTGCCTGCGTGGCCTCCGCTCAGATCACTTCTTCGTGCATGATTGTTGTGTCACCATAGTCCTGGAGCTGGTGAGGGTCGTTGGCAACCAGAGCAGGTGCCCCCCTGGCACACAGTGGTGCTCAGCTAGGGCCCTCTCTGTCCTGCACTCAGGGACCTGAGTCCCAGGGGTGAGCAAAGTGCCCTGGGGCTCAGGGGCTACATGGGGGCTCGTGGCCCATGCTGTGCTTGGGGGCAGAGCCTGGGATGGTGATAGGCAGCCCTTTCCAGAAGCCGGCCGAGGCTCATGGGTTTGCAATTCTTGCATTCATGTGCCTACATTGCAAGTGCTCAAGAACACATTTCCTACTGGCTGGCGGCCTTCTGTTCCTCTCTAAAGGATGAATGAACAAACCGACTGCTCATGGCTCCCATTAGTCTTTGGTTCTGTCTGCTCTCCGGGTGCCCCCATGAGATTCGGGGACGCGGAGCACGGTAGATGCTGGCACAGATCAGGAGTATGTGATGGGAGGAGGTGAGGGGCTGTGCCAGCTTTCAAAGCCGAACACGTTATCCTGTGTGCCTTCTTGGATGTTTCCTACGGAAGCCCTATTTCCTATTTATTTCCTATTTTTTTCCTTAAATATTTGGGAAACAGCAGAACTCTTTGTATTTTAGATATTCGTGTGCCAAGTGGTAATCAGGCCATTTCTCAAGTGCTACCCCAAAAAGGAGTCCCTGGGCAGATAGTGGGAGGGGTTGGGTCAAATGGAATTACTGGGCCTTTGATATTTGGGTCCGCAGCGTTTCCTTCTCACTTAGGTACACCCCCCCGGCCCCCTTTCTGGTGCCATGCCCATAAAACACACTAGACACCCTTTGGTAATGGGGCCTTAGGTATTGCGGAAAACCAGACCTGATAAGGCTCATTAAGCCAGCCATCTTTATATGGGAAGAGGAATTGAGGCGGGAGCTCTGACTGGGCGTGGGTTCGACCACGGTATAGTGTCTCCTTGGCGTGGGGGTGCCCAGCTCACTGGGGCCCCAGGTGGCTGCTGCTGGATGCTGAGCCTGAAGGCTGCCCTGGCCACCATCGCCCGTGGCTGGGGCGTGCTGCCCCCTGGTGTCGGGCGGTGGAGTCGCCGTCGTTTCTTTGAGCTCCTAACTGGCTTCTCTCTGTTTGCGTTTTCAGACCGTGAGTCCATCTTCTTCAACAGCCACAACGTGTCCAAGCCGGAGTCATCATCGGTCCTGACCGAGGTATGTCTTTCCCGCCGCGGTGGCCTGGTGTGGGGGTGCTGTTGGCTGTGTGGCCGGGGCTGAGCTCTCCAATGGGACAGGGTGGGGGGGACCTTTGCCCCCATGCCAGGGGCCCCGGGAGGTTCCAGAGATGCCCTCCTCCATGCTTGCTTCGGGCCTCATGCTGAGAGCCGTCGTGGCCACGCCCGTGCACCACTAGGTTACTCCAGATGGGAGATTTTCTGACTTCTTTTTCCTTCTCCTTTCTTTGTCCACGTGAGTGCAGTAAGTGTTTGTTACGAGCCTGCTGTTGCTTCTGCAGTGCTGGGGTGGCTCACAGGGCGGGCTCGGGGCTGCTGCTCAGGGAATGTTGCTGTGTGAAGCTTCCTCCTGGATGCCTTGCGGCATCACACACAGGTCTCGCAGGGGCGGTGGGCACCTCCACTTTTCCGAGGGATGAGGCTATGCGCAGTGAGGCTGAGGAGCGTCAAGTTCAGGGGTTGTTGGCCCAGATCGGTCTGATTCCAAAGCCGGGCCTTCCAGAAATTTAGGATTTCTTATCTCTCTGTGGAGCAGACAGCTAGAAATTGCCATGAGGTCACCCTCTGCTGTTCCTCCAAGTCCAGAGAGCCAGTGGCCTCTGCTGCTACAACACTTCCCCAGAACGGAGCCCTCTGCTGGGTCTCCCGCTCCCCTGAGTCACGAATGTCCTAGCAGTTCTGGGGGGATTTGCCTGTGTCCCTCTCCCTGTCCTGCGCGGGTCTCTTCAGCAAGATGCAGAGCAGACCGCCTCCCCTGGGCCTCACTCCCTCTGTTATCTCAGGGGTTGCCTTATTATTACTTCCTGCCCCTGACCCAGGCCACCTCCCCATTTCCTATTTGTTTCTGGTTTTTTCGAGGAGCCAGCTGTGTGCTGAGGGTTTGACAGAGCACAGGCATGGGTGGGGACCTGGCGGGAACGCCAGTGCCCCTCAAGATGTTGATAGACATGTCCCAGGAACAAGTTTCACAGTCCAGGAAGCTTAGGGGACAACCAGGTTCTAAAGGGTAGTTCTCGGCGCCTGGCTGTGTTCATCATAAGATATAAGGAGGTGTTCTGTGCAAGAAAAGGTTTTCTGGTCTTCTAAGCTTGAGACACTTCAGGCGAGCCCCGTTCCACAGGGCCCTTCCATGCGAGGCTCTCAGACCTTGTTCAGCCAGTGACTCTCAGAGACAACAGGGAAGTCGGCATTCCACAGACTTCCTAAGGTGCTGTTTCTGCCAATCCCTTGCACAGCATGTAGGACTAGTGGCCCACCTGAAAGTGAACTTCTTAGATAATCATATGTCTGCCACTCAGCCTGTTGCTTTATCTGTGAAATGGGAGAGTCTGCCTAGAGATACTTCCGGGGTCTTCTCTCCACCTGTAGGGCGTGCCATCATTGCCTCCTCCCCCACCTCATGACTGCTGCTGTTCAGGAATCTCCCAGGACTGACAAGATGTAAAAATAGAAAAGAGAAGTGGCAGCCAGCTGTCCCCTTTCTATTTAGGACACGAGCCCTTCTGCACACCTACAGGCCAGCCTGGCACAGGCAGCTCCATTCCAGACACGCCCCTTATCTCCCTCCCACCCCTGAGGGTCCCTCAAGTCCCCATCTCAGTCTTCTGCAGGGAGCCCTGCCCCTGCCTCAAACCCGTCCCTCCCCGGCTGGATGCCCTGAGGGTGGACCCAGCTCTCACTCCCCTTTGCAGGCCCCAAACACCATAGTGTAGCGAATTAAGTGTGTGGGCACTGACAAGACTGACTGGGGTCAGACCCAAGCTCTGCAGCACCCCACATGTGTGCCTCTCTGAGCCTTGGTGTCTCCGTGCTGTCCCGTAGGGTGGTTATGGGATTCAGGGAACTGCTAGAACAGCGCCAGGTGTGCATTGTCAGCTGTGACAGCCGATCCACGTGAACACCACTCACCTCCTGCATGGCCTCCTTTCTGTTTACGCCCACGGGCAGGGTTTCCAGGCCTTTATCTTGTCCTGGGATGGCTATTTGGTTTCAGATAATCTAAGGGCTTTAGAAGGATTTCTGGAATTCCTTAGCTGAGCTGAGAAAGTGCTTTTGTAAACAGCATGTCACAAGACTTTGTATAAAGCTGCAGCTGGAGCTCCCCTCGCTGCTGGGCGTGTGCTGTGAGCTGTAAACCTTGGCTTCGTGGACCCTCCCCCACTGTCCCACGCTGTAGGTGTCTGTTACCCCATCCGCCAGGGTGAGAAAACGACCCGGAGGGGTGCCTTGCGGCTCAGAGCACGCGGTGGACAGTGCCGAGGCGCCCATCCCGGTCTCTGAGTTGGGGAGGGACCAGTGGCCAAGCTGTCATTTTGGGCCAAGCCTCTGACGCCTCGCTGGTGACAGTGAACAGAGAGGTGGGCAGGTGCTAAGTGATGAGTGCCTGTCACAACCAGGCTGGCACTGCCCCTTAGAAAGGATTTCTCCCATAAGGTGCCAAGGCAGCAGAGTCTTAAGTATGAGGGGCCCTGCCTGGCGGGGGTGGGGGTCACAGTGGCGCACGGAAGCTGCCCCTGTGGGAGGTCCCTGCTCTGCATGTGTCTGGAAGTTCTCCATTGGCCCTTGCAGCTTCCTGTGCTGGGATAAGGGCCATTTGTCCTTGATGCCCATGGCTTTGTCCCCAGCCTTCCTGACCCAGCCTCACTTTAAAAAATAAAATTGAGGTGAAATTCACATAACATACTATTAGCCATTTTAAAGGGAGCACCTCATGGTGTTAAGTACATTCACCATGTTGCACAATCACCACCTCTGTCTAGTTCCAAAACATTTTCATCACCCTGGAAGGAGACCCCGTCCGCATTCAGCAGTCACTCCCTCTCCCCACTTCCTCCCAGCACCAGGCAGCCACTAGTCTGTGTTTTGTCTCTGGCTTACCTCTTCTAGACCTTTCGTGTGTGTGACCTGTTGTGTCTGGGGTTTTCACTCGGCCTAATGTCTCCAGGGTTCACCCACGTTGCAGCATTGTATGGCTGAACAATACTGTTTATCTGTTCATCTGTTGATGGACGTTGGGGTTTTTTCTACCTGTTGGCTCTTGTGAATAATGCTGCTATCAACACCAGTGTACAAGTACTTATTTTCAGTTCTTCTTGGTACGTACCCAGGAGTGAAATTCCTGGCTCATATGATAATTCTGTACTTGACTTTTTGACCTGGCTTCGCTTTTATTTCTGATAGATCAGCCATACTTCTTCCCCTTTGGTTCCTGAGCCCATTACCTCCGGGACTCTAGCGTTTATTGAGCACCGACTGTGAGCCCTGTGCTGACTGACAGCAGTGATATGGTACCATCTTTGTCCTAGAATGCAGGTGGAGCCCCTCTTCCCAGCCAGGCACATGCTGTCCCCACCACACCGATGACCTTCCACCCAGCAGTCTGGGATGGAAGCCTCACTGGTCCGATTTTGCAGATGAGCAAACTGCAGCTCAGAGTGGCCAAGTTCTTTTCCCTAAGACCACAGAGCTAGGAAGCCACTGTCAGGATTCTAATCCAGGTGCCTCTGACCCTGAATCTTGCCCAGTACAACCTTCCACTTCCTTGGAGGTTGTGGCCAGGGACCAGGCTTGGGCCCATGAGGACTTGTGTGCCTGTGTCAGGCCAGCTGTGACTGGAGCAGAAAATGAGCAGTGTGCGGGGTGAGTTCAGGAACAGCCCACTGGCCCCATGAAAGCTGAGTTCAGACCCTGGAGTCTGGTGAGAGCAGAGTAGCCTCTTTGGGGAAGCCCATTTGCATGGATGAGTTCGTATGGAAATACCATGTTAGCTACTTGTTGGGACGGGGAGCCCCATGACCCCCAGTACTGGGTAATTACATGGTGGCTGGTCCATGAACCCTTCCACTTCACGGCCATGAGGCTCTGGCAGTGGTGGGCCCGCGCCTGACAAAGCTTCCCACTCTGCCCCTGCTGTCCCAGCTCACAGCTGTCCCTCCGCCATGCCCTCGCCTGGCGCCTTTCTCCTCCCACCCATGCCCAGATCCGCCCTGCCTTCAAGGTTGACCTCATGCTCCCTGCCCCATAAAGTTTTCCTGGGTTCACTGCAGATTGCATCTTTCCTCCTGCTAAGACGGTTGGGTTTTAGAGGCTAACGAACCTCGGCACAAATCCAGCCCGGAACTTTTGTGCTGTGTAGCCCTGGGCCAGCCCCTGACCCAATCTGAGGTTCAGCTGCCCTGTGTAAAATGCTGATAATGACACACCTCCCCGGTTGTTACGAGGACTGGAGAGGTAATGGGCGCTGTCCACCTGGGACCTGCCCAGTCAGCAGGACTTGAGACATGGCCGTTCCAGTGCTGACCGTGTGAGTCGTTTCTGCCTCCTGGCCTGAGGCGAGGCCCGGCTTGGGGCGCCGCACTGGCAGTCTCTGTGTGGTGTGGCGTGGCGCCTCCCTGCCTTGACTGACGCCCGTGTATGTGTCGTGTCGGCAGCTGGACAAGATCGAGGGCGTGTTTGAGCGGCCGAGTGACGAGGTCATCCGGGAGCTCTCCCGGGCACTGCGGCAGGCGCTTGGCGTGTCACTTTTTGGGATTGATATCATCATCAACAACCAGACGGGACAGCACGCCGTCATCGACATCAATGCCTTCCCAGGTGAGCGAGCGGTGGGCACCGTGTCCCTGGGCAGGCAATGGGGCAGGCGTTACCTCTCTCTGTCTGCGAGGCCTGGGGTAAATGCAGCCCCCACGAAGCCTGCTAATGGGGTTACAGGGTTTGGGGAGGAGCGAAGGAGGTCTGTACTTCCAGTCAGGGGGCGCGCATAGTGGGCCTGCACTAAACATGTGTCCTCTCACCTTCCCCTCCTGACCCTGCACCATCTGCATTAGCCTTTATTGGTCTGATCTCAGCTGACCCTTGGACCTTTGTAGATTAAAAGAGCTGAAAGGATGCTGGAGGGAATTCACCCCCCCACACAGGTTTATGTGTAGGGAACTGAGACCCTCAGAGAGGGAGGAATTGTCCCAGGCCACAGTACAGGCTGGTGGCAGGGCCATGCCCGAGCCATAGGGCGCCTGGGCGCTGCTCTCTGCTGTCTGCTGGAGCCCTGAAGTGGGGTAAGCACATGCTAGGCCCCTGTGACCGGCTGGCACGACCTGGCTCTGCTGAGTACCCCTCAGATATCACCTCATCAAGGGGCTCCGCGGAACACACCAGCACATGGGACTGCTCATGCTCAGGGGGTGTTTGCAGGGCGCAAGGAAGCCCTCAGACACTGGGAGCACTCGTGGGGCATCAGGCCCTGGGCTGGGTGCTCGATGCATGTGTCGTGTGCCCAGTCCCATCCCCCACCCCCTCCTCCGAGAGCACGTAAGTCAGGCCCAACCAGCATCACAGTTCACAGCCCAGGAAGCTGAGCGCAGCGGGTGCTGAGGGGAGGCCCCAGAGGAGGCAGTGTCCAGGAGACAGCTGCCAGGGCAGGGCAGCTCCTGCTCCCTGGTCTCGCCCGGCTTGGCTTGTGAGCCTGGGTCTAGAGCACTCATGGGGCCCCGCCTGAGGAATGGACCCTGGGCCCCCTGCACCTGTGGGTTCAAATCCTGGCTCTGCCTTCATGGTCTGTGTTGGGACAAGCCACCTAATGGGGCAGTCGCAGTATTCACTTCTGCACAATGGGAATGGCGTCCCCTCCCTCACAGAGACAGGAGATGGTGTTTTCACAGCCTAGCCCTGAGCTGGTGCCCCACAGTGCCGGTTCACCTCTCAGACACCCTCTTCAGACCAACGTAGAGCTGTGGGCGCCGAGTGGCCTGAGGGGCCTTCCCCGGCCTCCTGTCCACCCTCAGACCTACGTACCTCATGAGGAAGTACACACACCCACCCCCAGGCCCTTGTCTAGGGACGTCAGAGTGGTTGCTGAGGGAACGGCTTAGGTTCCCTGGTGTTGGCCTGACGCAGATTCCAGCGCCCCTTTCCTGCTCATGTCTCTGCCCTGGAAACCCAGTGACATGCCTGCTTGTGGCCCCCAAGGGGCCCAGGTCCTTCCTGCCCCCCACAACCTCAGGACTGAGAGAAGCCCAAGTCCTAGGGTGGGGTGTCCAGCACCATGTGGGTATTGAAGGCACAGGCTGGACCAGAGGGCCTGGTTAAAACCAGGTTCTGCCACTTAGGAACTCTGTGTCCCCGTCTGTAAAATGGGGGAATCCTGGGGCACCTTCCGCGGGGACTGCAAGGATGCCCTGAGTGGCACGGGAGGCCCGGGGCCAGGGCTTTGAGAGCCCGGGCGAACACCAGCCGCGGACGTCTTGCGGTGGATAGTCACACGTCCACCTGTTGACCGTTCTTTTTGTCTTTGGTGCCAGTTACTTAACTCTCTGGGTCTTGTTCCTTCGTCTGTGAAACGGGGACAGAGCGTTGGGAAGAGGAAGTGAGGGATGTTGCACACAGAAGCCCTGTGTGTGCCAGCTCCTTGACCCAGTTTTATCTTTTCTGCGGGGACCTCTGCTTCCCCCTCTCAGCCTCGGGCTTCCTCAAAACCGGAGCAGTTGTTTGCTGAACAAATAAGAGTCTAAACAAATGAGGCAGCACCACCCGCCCGCGGGCGTTTCTGTAAAAGGTAGCACCTCCTGCCCATTCCTGAACCTTCGCTCTCACCTGGCGTGTGCCGACCGCTGCGAAGACCATCCTGAGGACATAGGAGGGTTTTAGAAACCTCAGCACCAGGCCAGTGGTGGTGGCGGCATCACAGCGCCCCGAGCCCATCCCAAGGGGGGCACACCCGTCCTTTGCAGGGACACATTTTCTGTCCCTGCTCTTACAGCTGTATGCCTGGCTCTCATCCTTCCAAATTGGTTCAGGCACGTGGGGGCACCCACCCGCTGTCGCATTTCTTTTCAAGCAATTTTTGGGAGTCAGCAAAACCCTCGCCCTAGATGCTTGCCCAGCTCGGTGGGCGGCTCCCAAGGACTCATTTGCTGACCGTTGCTTTCACATCTACACCGGAAAATGCAGGCCCTGGGCAGGCACCAGCAGTTTCTGTTCAGGAGAGCGAGCCCCCACTTTGTTAGGGGGAGCGGGTGTCTGTGTGGTGGCCTTGTTGGGGTGCCCAGTCTCTGCCCCTTGACTCTGGTGCTCAGAGCATGTGGCATAAGCAATACCCTGCAGATATCTTGGGGGAGGTGACAAGGGTTCCCGTCCTGGGAGCAGCTGCTGTTGCTCAGGCGTCACCCACGTTCCAGCCCCCCTCGATCGTGCCTACAGGAGCAACCCTGGGAGTTCTCAGCTGACACATGAGGAAACTGAGGCTGGGCCCCACGGCAGCGAGGGGTGTTTGTGATTGAGAACGTGCAGAGTGGGCCTTTGGTACTGCCACCTCCAGCCGTGGCTCGTCACCCGCTCAATGGTATCATACCACACTGGGCAGGTGATTAAATGAGTCCCCAAGTTGTGCCCAAGAGGGACAGGGTTGCAGGGTGTTTCTCATTAGCTCAAGCTCGACAGTTTCTCATACTCCGGAGGCAGTGAATTCAAGGGCCATCCTTGTGGGACCATGTGCACCCCGCTTTGAGTCCAGGCTGTGTGACTTCAATCAGCCCTCATTATCTACTGAGCCTTGATTGTCCCTGTAAATGGCATCATGAAAACATCCACCTTGCGTCCCGTGGGCCCCGTAGCGCCCCTGTCCCCTTGTCGTCCCCCGTGCCCATGGCCTGTCTCCACTTCCACCTGGCTAAGTGCCCTGCACTGTCTGTCCGTCCCACCCCCAGGCTACGAGGGCGTGAGCGAGTTCTTCACAGACCTCCTGAACCATATCGCCACCGTCCTGCAGGGCCAGAGCGCAGCCACAGCAGCCGTGGGGGACGTGGCCCCACTGAGGCGCAGCAGGCTCCTGACGGAGCAGGCGGGCGGCCTGGCGGGTGAGCGGACGTGCAGCGCCAGCCCTGGCTGCAGCAGCAGCGTGATGGGCCAAGACCCACCTTGGATGGCGGAGGCCGACGCGGCTGGTGTGGGTGCAAGCAGCACCACCAAGCTGCCCCACCAGAGACTCGGCTGCACCACCGCCGTGTCACCCAGCTTCCAGCAGCACTGTGTGGCCTCGCTGGCCACCAAGGCCTCCTCCCAGTAGCCATGGAGCCCAGGACCCAGAGGGCGGCGTGGGCCACGGAGCACACCCACTGGGCAAGCAGCACCCAATGGTGACATCCTACTAAGAATTCCCAACAGTCTGGTCTTTTTTTTTTTTTTTTTAATTTTTAACCTGATTTTCTGATGTCATGATCTAAATGAGGGATGGGGGGGAAGATGGAAAAGAACCCCAGTGGTCCAGCCTCACGGCAAAGGGACATCCTGCCTAATTCCTGCTGTGCAGATCTCTTCACTGAGTTTACACACGCTGTGTTTTCAACACTAGGTCTGAATGTGAGGAGGGATGTACGTGTGCGTGTGTGTGGTTGCTGTGTGTGTGTGTGTGTGTGTGTGTGTGTGTGTGTGTGCAAGTGTGTGTGCACATCCATGTCTGTTGGTCTTGATGGCTGCTGTGGACCAGGCCTGGGGGACCCTGGAGGGGGCCACCCCTGGTTAGGCTGTTGACGCTGAACAGAGCAAGTGGACGGTTCCCCTTCTCTCTCTTCTCCCTAAACTCCTCCCCAGGCTGGCCAGTAGCTGGTTGCCCTCCTGCTGGCCGCCTCCGTAGCTTTGTGAGGAGTGGAGCCAGAAACCCCACCAGCTGTGCAGCTGCCCATCCGGAAAGCATGAGCCAAGGAGGCGAAGGCCGCAGCTCCCGTTTTCTTGGGTTCTGTGCCGGGGATCTGGGCTGCGGACCTCTTGCTGCCCGCTCCCAGAGGGAAGAAGAAAGAAGCTTCCCAGGGGAGGCTAAGGCCCTGGGTTGGCCGCCTCTCTCCACGTCCACCCAGCCCCTCACGACGTGCCCCATGCAGCCCCGCAAGGGGGCCTCCTTCCCTGACCAAACGCTGCTGCTCCCCGGGACTCGGGAGGAGGCTGCCTGGTGGTGGGTCCCCGGGCTGATCCCGCCTGTGCCAAGGATTTGTGCCGTGACTTTGGGCAAATCATTCCGAGAGTCACCGGACCTCCGTGTCCTCGTCTGTGATGGGCAGATGAGACCAGAGAACTCCGAAGGGCGGGCTTGACACTCCAGCACCTGCCATGAAGCCTGCTTCTCCGCGAGGTCACCCGGATGAGCCGCCCCTTGGCATCGAGGACATTTGGGGCCCTCTTCCCAGGCAGAAGGAGGCTGCCCAGACGCCTCACTCATGTTTGCACCTGCCTGGCCCACCCTCACCCAGTAGGTCGATCCACATTCACTGCAAGAGCCAGCCGGAGGCGAAGGAGGAACAGCCCCCTGGAGGAGAGAGAACATGCTACCCTCTTCCCAGTTAGAGTCACTCCAGCCCCTAGTGGCAGCAGACAGACCACCAGCTGATTGTCACATCCCGAAGTCCAGGCAGGCTGGCGGCCCCTCCTCAGAGAAGGACCAGTGAGGGGCTTTGTGTGCCCTGGGACAATGTGAACACTGGCTGAGATGCATAGGACCCCTTGCGTATGACCTTGTGTCTTAAGATTCCATTTCACTTTGAGAAAGAAAAAGGGCTCTGGGCTGAGCGGAGTGTCCAGCGAGGATGGCTGCTGAGCGGGGCACTTGGAGGGACCTTCAGGCCTGGCCCAGCAGGGCCGGGAGGCTGTCTGCCTTTGGGCCTGGGGCGAGGGGTGGATGCCATCAGAACTGCCCGGCTGTCCTAGATACTGAAGGCCCGCCGACTAACCGCGTTTACACGACTTGAGTGTTGAATCCCGATTATAATGTCTGTACCGTCACCTTTCCTTGTCTAACCCTGAGCCCCGGGGAAGTGGGAAAGTGTGGCCGGCCTCTTGCACTGCTTTGTCTCCAAAATAAACTACTGAAATCAAACTGCATTTCACACGTGTTTACACAGCATTGCTAAAAGTTTGTCATTTCTCCCAGACTTTTAATAAAATGGCTTTACCGTTTTGAATAAAATTCCAATCCCGATTCGCCTCAAGAACAGGTAGGGAGTGTGGTGTGACCCCTGATGCCTTGCTTGCTGGGGCCCCTGGCTGTATCGTGTTCCTGTATAATTTATGTTACCCCCCAGGGTTGCACATGGTAGCACCCAGGCCCCCAGATATCTAGTAACTATTTTCCGGTGACGTGGTATTTTCCACTGGCCTCGATGCGGGTGGCGATCACAATAATTGCTTTTTCCGGGAGTGGAAACTGAGGGGGTAGCTGAGCTTCACAAAGGACGGGGAGCTGTCGGGTGGTGGGAAGGGGACCAGCCCACACCCCAGGGTGTGAGCAGGCTCCTCCTCCTCCCTGGGACTGGTGATCACTGTGCAGCGGACAACGGCCATCTCTTGAAGGGGTTTAGGGAGCTGTGTCAGGGAGCATAGCTGAGGAGAGGGGCTGAGCAGTGGTGAGACCCGGTGAGCACTGCCCGCCCCCCCCCGTGTCACCTGGGGGCACTGACCTGTTTAGGTCCATAGGGTTGGTTTCCCCGTAGGCCTCACGGTCGCTGGCCTTAGGGAAAGACCCATTAAAACACACTTAGCCTTTGAAGCCTTCTCTTCCCTGGGGCATGTGGTGCTGCCTCTGGGAAGCTTCGTGGGCCGGTGGGAAGGGTCTGCTTCCATGGGAAATGGTGTGCAGGTGTGGGCCCGGAGCCAGCCCTGCTGGCATTCTGCGGGGAGTTGGGAATCCTGTTCCCAAGCCCCCCTTTACCAGCTGGTGGGCATGTTGGGGTCAGTGGCCCTGCAGCATCTGTCTTGCTGGTGGCAAGTAGCAGGGCCACATTTTGGCTGAGGCCTTGTGTAGGCTCAGAGAGTCATGTGTGAGGTCTGTGCCCGGGGCAGCCGGGAGCAGAGGCTCTGGGCCCAGTTCTGCATGCAGATGCTTTGGTCATGTAATGATGTGGCTCCACAAACACTGAGCCCCAACTGAGTGCAGGCTGGACGTCCTCACCAGGCAATCCCAGGGCAGTCTCCTGGAGGTGGGCCCTTGCTGGTGGCATCGTGGAGGTGTCTGGGTGCAGGACATGGTGGTGGGCCTGAAGCCACCCAGTATCGCCTGCAGAAGGCAGACCCCACTGACTTCCCGAGGAATCGGCCAGGCATCCTTTAAGTGGGCCTACCTGTATCTTTAATCTTATCAATGGAGAACACCTTGGAAAAAGATTACCTCTCTACCCAGAGGACTGCCAAGTGGGCTTTATGGAAGGTTACAGGACCCTGGCAAGAAGCTATAATTTTCAAGCCAACTGGAAAAAGTGGTTGTTGTCTGCCCTTGACCTTGACCTAGCCTGGAAGACTGGCCCTTGGCTCGGGCACTCACACTGGCCGCTGGCCACAGACAGGCAGCGACTGGCTTCACTCCTGTCCCTGGGGTTTGTCTGCTAGAAACTGAACCTTAACATGGCAAGATCCCCAACAGCCCCGCTCCTTTCTCGGGTCACGGCTCACGAGCCCCTGAGCTGCGGACGCCTTGAGCTGGGTGCTGGCCGTCTTGCAGGAGCATAGCCCCTGCACCATGGCTCACCAGCAGGCAAAGAAGTACACACCCTTGACAAAGGTTCTGGGCTTCTCCCTCCTTGGTCAGCCTGGCCATGCCCTGAAGCCGCACACATCCACCCAGATATGATATGACCTCCAGACACACGGTTCAGGAGCGAGCAGACTCTTCTCACAGACAGACCTGGGCCCTTATCCTTCTGTTCTGACCACTGGGCCCCACTCAGACCAGCAGGGGCCTTTTCCAAGAGTGGCTGCATTTTCCCCTTTACTTCCAGGTTTGGCCATGACCTGGCAGTTTGGAGGGACTGTCCCTTTGCCACAGCCTGACCTCCTCCAGGGCTGGGCAGGGGGGTCAGACCCTTCTGAAGCTTGCTGCCTCTTGAAAGGCTTCTTATATAGTGACTTCACCACCACGTTGGTGGTTCCAGTTTTAGCTCTGCCACCTGTGCTTTGTGACAGAACTATTTGCTTCAGTCCTGTTGATGAGCAGTGTTTACCAGAACCCCAAGCTGGCTTGTACTTAATCTGTGTACATACACATACATAATGTTTATATGAATACACACGCACGTGCGCACACACACAAGTGCGCGCAAATACACCATCTATAAAAGCATGGCTTCTGTAAAACTAAGAAGCTTTGTCCACGGGCCCTTGAATTGGTTGCGTATTTGCTCCATGGGGTTATGACAGCGCAGGTGGCCTGTGTTTGGGTTATTTCAGGGACAAGATGCCGCATGTTCTATTTGCTAACTAGTGTTGGTAGCGGATGTTTGATACCTCACCAACTGGTGGAACACAGCATTGTGTTTGTTTCTGTAACTGTTGGGGACGGAGGGCCAACCTGTCTCTGAAACGTGAGAAAATAAACACCTAATAGCAACAGCTCCCTGAAGGCTGTCCCTCTGCTTTGGGCGTTGGGCATCAGCAGCAGTGGGCGGTCCCCTCGCCCCTCACATGAGAGGCCCAGAGGTGCCAAGACTCCTCATGTCATCATAGTGGTTTTCTGATCCAGGCTGTCTGAGCCCCTCAAGTCCTCATCGTAATCTGGTGAGGAGATAGTATGATCCCCCATTGTACAGATGAGGAAACGGGCTCCAAGAGAGCCGGGGATTCCAACTCAAGTCTCACATCAAAACCCACATTTCTGATTTTTTTTTTTAAGCTGAGCCATCCTGCCACCTGTTGGCAGTTCAGCAGCAGCTCAGCTTGGGCCAGGAATCGAACCAGCAACCCTGTTGCTCAGAGCTTGCACTCTTGAGCGAGCTCTTAACCAACTGAGCCACTCGGCCAGCCCAGTAAAACCCACATTTCTGGACAGTGGGCTTCTTGAAGTCAGGGTTTGTCCCGGCCATCTCTGCATGCCCAGGCCTACCAGGTCCAAAGTAGCCTGAGTGACTGGCCCTGACCTTCGGCTGGTCTGCACGGGTCCAGCACAGCAGCCCAGTCCATTCTGATTGTGTGATCCCACAGTCCCCATAGTTACATGTTTTGGATATCACCCCTACCTGTGAGTAATGAGTCATTTCACCTTGTGAGCCTCAGTTTCCTCAAAGCTGAGACTGAGACCTGCCGTGGTCTGGTGAACCGTGAAGTGAGCAAGAACTCTAGCTGCCCAAGTCCTGTGCACGTACCAGGTCAGAGGGGGTGGCAGATGTGAGCCAAGGGGCCCTGTGACCTTGGTGGTAGGCACCATCCCAGGGTTATTGGCCCTTACCCAGCACCACAGAGAGCAGAGGCTGTTTCCCAAACTGGCCCCGCCTTGCATGGCTCAGCTCAGGTGTAGCTGGGATCTGGGGAAGACAAAGGAACCTGGGAGCCCGTTTGCATGTTTAACTCCCACACACTGAGGCAGACATCACCCCATTTTACAGATGAGAAAATAGATGCTCAGAGATGCAAAGTCACTTGCCCAAGATCCCGTGGTTGGGGAGTGGCCCAGAAAGGAGTCGCCCCAGGGTGCCTGAGCCTCCCCTGGTCCCTTTGCCCGAATCCAGTCCATCCTACCCCACTCTGAGTCAAGAGGGGAGAAGTCCAACGAAACAGGAAAGAGCTCAGAGCAGGTTTATTTTTCCTTTGATAAATTTTGTACAGAATATATTACAGTCAGGAGTTCTCGGCTTTCACCAAAAGGCCAGAGCTTATTACAGTTGTGCCCAATGGTTCTGATGGTGGAAGGGAAGCTTTCTAGAAGCTTCCTGTGTTCAGTGAGAGGATAATTTAAAGTTGTGGGGGTCTGCCCTGCGCAGGGGCACACTGGGGTCAAGAGCAGGAGGAAAAGGAGCAGGAGGCAACGGGGTGGCCTGGGCTTGGGCGGGCTGGGGCAACCTCCCTACCGGAAGCAGCGCCCAGGCCGGCTGGCCAGGACCACAGGGTTCCTCGGGGTCCCGGCTGGCAGGGCCAGCTGGCGCCTCAGCCCCGCCGCAGGGCCTGCAGCTGGTGGGCTACCTTCTCCAGCTCTGCCTCTATGGCCGACAGGCTCTCCAGTTCCTGGTCCTAGAAGAGAGAACATCAAGGGTCACACAGGGACTGGCCCCGGGAGCCTGCGCCAGCATCGTGGACTGTGCAGCCAGACTAGCTGTGTGGCCTTGGACACGTAGCTTTGCCTCACTGAGCCTCAGGGGCCTCTACATGCCATGGGGACAGTGATACCACCGTGCTGGGCTGCTCTGAGGAGTATTGTGCACAAGAATGTGGGTGGGACTGAGGTCCTGACCCTTCGCTGCCCCTGGTGGCCTCTTATCCAGGCCCGCTGCCTCCCGAATGGCTCCAGGCAGGTATGTGGAAAACGAGGCCTCGGGTGCCCGTCAGCATTCCTCCAGCACCCCGCACCCCAGGCCTAGGCTGACGATGGCTCCCAGGGTGAGGCCAGGCCTGGGCTTCCTGTCTGAGCGGCTTGAGCCTGTATCGCAGGCTAGAGGCTGTGAGAGCTTCCCCTCATCTACGTGCCTATGGCTGGGCCTCAATCCTTGGTCCCATGGGATGGGGTGGGGGGTGGGGGGATGGGAGGGCGAGTTCTGGTTGATAGAGTGATTCGGGGGCATATTCTGTGAGCCCTGTTCTGGGCCCTAGCCTTGGGAAGCTTCCAGACCCCGGAGCTGGAACTCCCACCCACGAGAACATGCCCTTGGACTCAGAACAGGAGTTGGGGAAGGCCACTTCCTGGCCTTGACCTGGGAGAGGTGGTCTTCCTGGGGTCCCTGCCGGATGCCAGGTTGCGGAAGGCAGCCTCATCCCTAGGACAGCACTGAGCCGCACCTGGGGCCCAGTTTGAACAGATGGACAGTGGTTGCCATGGAAATAGGGACCCCAGAGCCTTCTGTGTGGGAGTAGCCCCTGGGGCATGCGTTCTGTGATGCTAGGGCGGTTTTCTAAGAAGACCCTTGGGCTGGGTGGAGGAGGCCCACACGACTCTGGGGTCCCCATTTCTCTGCCCTGAAGTCCAGGGCTCCCCCTGCTTGTAGAGAAGGGAAGCTGGCAGGCATCTCAGGGCACCTCACTCTACAGCCTCTGTGGGTGGGGAAGGGGGTGATCAAAAGTGCCCAGCCTTGTCCTGGGTCGGAAAGCTGGGGGTGGGGAACACGTTGCTGCTTCCTGTAGCCCCACACCCTCAGTCTCCTGAGGACGCTGACCTCTTCCAGCTCCAGCTGCCAAGAAAGAGCTGGCTTCCTCTCTAGCTGCCCAGACCCAGAGAGAGGGTTGGGGATCCCAGGAAGGGGCCACATTCTCTTCTGAGCGAGCAGAGAAGAGTACTGGGGCCAGGGCCTCGAACAGGTCCCGGCCCCCCATAGGGCCCCGATTCCCAGCTGGGCGCAGAGGCTTGAACCACAGACTCCTCAAGACCTCCTCAGTTGAGGCTTGATCCACAGACTCCTCAAGACCTCCTCAGCTGGTGTTGCCAGCCTGCCAGGGACCCCAGCTCCTATGCCAGCCCCTCCTATGGGGCTGCGTGTGCACCCCATTGAGCTTTCCAAATGGCCCTGGGCACGGCCAGGCTTTCAAACTTGCATGTGTTCCGATCACGGCAATGAGGTGAGCAGAAAGGATTCCTTACCCCCATTTCAGAAATGGGGAAGCGTTGAGGCTCAGAGAAGGCGAGTGACCTGCTTGAGGTCACACAGCTAGGAGGAGGCAGAATCCAGGTTTTCTGGCACCCACCTGCTTCCCCTGACCCATTCACGACCACGCCCATAGGTCCAGCTGGCGCGCCCCCACCCCCTCTGCCACTGGAGGTGGGAGGCAGGGCCTGAACCTGGAGAGGAGGGTGTGCCGGGGCTGCCTGGGGTCCAGGCTAGGACCCGGCTACGCCAAACGCAGGGTCTTCCCAGGATGCCAGCTCTCCCTTAATGTCCCCTCCGCTCATGCCCTCCCAGCTCTTGGGGCCAATGGTGCCCTGGGCTTGGGTCCCCCAGGCAGCAAACGGTCCTCCTAGGCCAGTCCCCACCAGGTCCTGTAGTTTCCAAGCTCTCCATCCAACGCGGCAGGCTGCACCCATCACTCCCTTGTCCTGCCCCTAAACCCGCAGAGGCTCCCTGTTGCCTTCAGGACCAAGTCCTCGCCCAGCGCCTCCGGGGACTGGCTCAACTTATCACTTCTCCAGCTTCCCTGCGCTGATCTGCACACTTCCTGTTTCCCGCCTCCCTGCTGGGTGCCCTCGGGGAGCCGGGGTCCCCTCCCCTCCCTGCCTTTTTCCTACCCCTTTCTAGCTCTGCCCCAAGCCCAGGCCTTTGGGGAGCATCCCAGAGCCCCCTGTCTGTCTCTCCAGTCCCAGACTCCAAGGGGACCGTGTCCGCCCAGTGGGGCAGGGGACACATCTGGGTGCAGCTGCCCCTCCTCCCCCGGCTGGGCCGGCACCCCTGGGGCTGGCTCCCACCCTGTACCAACCTCCGGCCTGCGGTTGGCGCTGCCTTCCTCCTCTTTCCTCTCCTCGGGGAAGCCACGCACCTGGAGGGGCAGGCCCGCCTCAACACTGTCCTCCCGGGAGGACGGCCGCCAGCCTCGCCGCAGCTGCATCCCGGGGCCCCGGAAGCCGTAGCCCTGGGCCCGGAAGGAGAGCTTCATGGAGCGGTCAGGGTCGTCGTCCTCGTCCTCCCGCTCCAGCCGCTTCTCGGCCGTCAGCTCCGTGGCCAGCTGGTCCATCTTGCTCCATCGCTTGGCGTGCTCCCACTCCTCGGAGAGCCGCTCCTCCTCCGCCTGCTCCAGCTGCCCGCTCTTCCCGCCCCGGAAGAGGCCTGGGGGGGCCCCTGCCGTCTCCTCCTCCTCCTGCCCCTTGGGGGGCTGAGCTTCCTCAGCCCCGGTCTTCCCGGCTCCATCTGCAGCCGTAGCCTCGGACCAACCTGGAGCAGGTGGTGGACAAGAGCAGATGAGGGAGGGACTGCACCCTCCCTGTCCCTGCCACTCCCCAGGGACCTCTCTGTGGCCACCGCTGGACCACAGACCCCGCACTCAAGGTCCAGCCCCGCCTTTCTACAATGGGTTCTACTTGGAGGGAAAAAGCCATATCGACACCATACTTTGCTAGACCCTCTCAAAGCTCAGAGGGATGGGTTGGCTGGAGCCTGCCTCTTCCTTTATCTCTCTCACCCCAGAACCCCCTGATTCAGGGGTCACCTAGCTAGGCTGGGAGGAAAGACCCTGACAAGGCCCTCAGGGAGCCAGCGCCCCTTCTAAACCCTGGTTGAAGCTGACAGTTGTCCCCAGACAAGCCTGCTCCCACCTGTCATGCTGTCCCTCAATTCCCAAAGCCTACCCACCTACCCTACTAAGCCCCTCTAGCTTCCCGGGTTGGGGGGGTAGAGGGTCTGTGTGGAATAGTGGAGATGCATGGTTCTGGAGTCAGACAAACCTGGGCTGGGATCTCAGCTTTTACTACAATTTAGCTGTGTGACCTTGGGCAAATTACTTAACCTCTCCAAGCCTTTGTTGCCCATCTGAAAATGGAGGTAATGTCTACTTTCAGGGTGGTTGTGACGGTGGAATGAGATCATGGATGAGGTCCACCTCCCATCCGTCCCGCTCTCCTACACACTTGTTGAGGTCTCAGACGTCATACGTACTCTCACTGCTCTGGGCCTCCTTGTAGCCGAGGCTCGGGTGGGGGTTAAGGACTGCGGTGGGGCCTTCTTCCTCGGGGGCAGCCTTCTCTCCAGCCTCTGTGTCCTCCTCCTCCTCCTCCTCTCTCTCTGCCTGCTGTCGTTGCTCTGCACCCAGGCTCTTCTCTTTGTCCCCCAGACCCTGGGAGGGGCCCTCGCTGTCCCCCTCGGCCTGTGGGCCTGGGTGTTTCTGGCTGGGGAGGCTGGCTGGAGGGTGGGTGTTGGCAGCCTCCTCCTCTTCCCCTGGGGCCGGGTTGTCCTCCTCCACCTCGGACCCCTGCCCGGGCTCTGCGGAGGCCTGGGGCCTGGCTCCATCCGTATCTTCGCCATTGTCCTCCGCCTCGTTAGAGTCCCCTCTTTTCTCTGCAGTGTCCTTGGAGGGCACCTCTCCTGTCCCCTCTACAGAAACAACAGAACAGAGTCAAGCCCTGAGGACCAGGCTGCATGCAGAGACTCCCCAGAGCCCAATTTCAGATCTTAGTCATTGTATCTCTTCGCTTCCCACAAGCCCCGCCTAAGACACCCGTGGCAGAATTAGGGGTTCCCTGTCCATGTCTGGGTTTGACCTGAGCACATCTGATGGAAATTTTTTTTTTTTTTTTTTAGCTGAGCCATCCTGCTACCTGTTGGCAGCTCAGCGGCTGCTCAGCTCGGGCTGGACTCGAACCGCTGTTGCTCAGAGCTCAAACTCTTGAGCGAGCTCTTAACCAACTGAGCCACTCGGCCGGCCCGACCTGAGCACATCTGGATTGTGTTTCTTTCTTTGTAATTCTACCTCTTAAAGAAGGATGTGATTTAAAAAAAAAAAAAAAAAGCTTGAAAATGACCCTAGAAGATTGAGCTCTGAATTGAAAATTAGGACATCAGCTGAATGGCTGTGTGATCTTGGGCAAGTCCCTTAACCTCTCTGTGTAAGAGGCACCATTACTGTGACTTCATTCTCCCTTCCACATGGGGCTTCTCTGTCTTGAGTGTCCTGGGAAGGTGCTCAATTCCTCAGTATTTGTAGAGTTTCATTGAAAGGTATTTTCTTGCGCCTGTAAAAGACCCTTCCATCCCTAGCATGGCTGCTGTAGAACAAAGCACTACCTAGAACACCCCACCATTTCACTCCAGGACTCTAAGTGAAAGTGCTCCCATCCCAGTTACAGAAACTCAAACTGATTCTCACAAAGGTAAGGAGGCCCATCATGCTCACGCAGTCTGTAGGGCTGAGCCTTGAACCCAAGCTTCCAAAGGCCAAGTGCGGGGTGCTCTTTGTACACACACACACACACACACACACACACACACACACACACACACACACACACGATTCCCCCTTCCGCAGCCCATGGCAGACATCCATAGTCATCCAGACACTTTCCCATGGAGCCAGATGTGGGAGTCCATGCCATGCCCCAAGCAGCCACTGGGGTGACAGCCCAGGCCAGTATGAGGGTACCTGGGCAGGCTTCCCTCTCAGCCCCACATGGAAGACCATTGAGGTCCCAGCCCCTGGAGTGTTGGCCCCTGTGGGGGGCAGATGGGACAGACCCAGCTTCACATCTCCTGTTATGCCTTAGACAAGGTACTTCTCTGAGACTCCGTTTCCCCCATTTGTAAATGGCAGGAAATAATGGCTACCTTATAGGGCGTGCAGGTGGGGGGCGCCTGCCTCCTAGGACCCCTCAGTCTGTCATAAGCACTGTCATTACATCCTCCCTCCCCTGGTCTCTGGCCAGACTGGCCGGCACTGACCCTTTAGCTCGGCCTGGCTGTTGTGCTTCTCGAGAACCTCCGAGAGTTCATCTTCAAAGCTGCTGTGTTTCTTTTGCTCATGGGCCCTCTCCTTGGCACCTGGTGTGAGAAAAGGAGAGAAAAGCGCCATTTGGTCTGAGCCGGCCTCTGTGCCTACCAGTGAAGGCCTGCATTTCCTCATCTCCGCACTGGGCATGTCATGTTCCCGCCCTGCCCGATGAGAGACTGAGGGAGTGAGAGCTTGGGGATGGGGGAAGGGTGGTTTGCCCCGCCCCCTTCCAGCTGGGGTCTATCAGGTGGCCATACCACCCCTCCAGACTGTTTCTCACCTAGGAAATGAGAATGAGCCTTGTGTGCTGCCTCACAGAGCAACAAAGGCTCAGAGGAGCAGAGGGTCCCAGAGGCAGGGGCCCCTCAGGACCTGGCTGGTAGGTAACCGTGACTGCTTGTCCTCTCATGGGGGTTCTTGATTCAGGCAACCCCTGCTCCCCTGGAGCCCATAAATCCAGGCCCTTGGGAGAAAGCCAAGCATGTGCCTGAATCCAAGCCCAGGGTGGGCACCTGCTGCCCCGATGCAGAGGCCTCTCTCCCCGCATCAGCCTCAGGCTGCCTCCTCTGACTGTCCCCACCTGTGCCTGGTTCCTGAAGACGGCCCCTTGCCCAGGCCAACCTTGTCGCTGGTGATGATGTTTTTCCCTCATAATGAGAGTCTGTGGAACGGCCAGAGGAGCCTGACACAGTGCTTGTGGGCAAGGGAGTATGCCCAGAGGAAAAATATCCTCTCTGCCATCTAGTCTTGAAAGTGCCCCCTTGGCAGTGTCTGAACCCCTGAGACCATGGGGGTGTTAGGAGAGATGCATCTCATCTTGGTATGTCCCTAACTCACTGTGTGACCTTGGGCAAGACACTTAACCTCTCTGGGCCTTGATCTCTAACAATATCAATGGCACATGGGACCAGGTGGTGTGGAGGACCCCACCTTCCCACTCTGTAGCTGGAAGGCACTCAGAGACAAACAGGACCTGCTCGACCTTCCACCCTGATTTCCTGACTCTCAGTCCCTGGAATTGATCCAGATTCACGTGCAGTGGCTGGAAATACCTTGGAGAGCAAGGTCTTGGAGCTCTTTCAGCAAATTCTGATGTCGCAGGATTGAGAGGATCCGTTCATCTGCGGTGAAGGAGAGTCATTATGGTTCATTTCCAGAGAAAGATTGCCATCAATATTTTCAGCTGAGCACAGGACTTTGTGCTGGAAACTCAAAACCTGGGTGGCAGCGGCAAGATTGGGTCTTGAGATAACACTTTTGAAATGACCTCCTTTCCAAGGCGTCAATCAGTTTTCTGCTACATCAGAAAGGTCAGCCACTGTCCCAGTGCCCAGACCTTGGCGGCTATGGCAGCCCTGCGGGGAGGTAGGACTGTCTCCAGACACAACGCGGCTCCCCAGCTCCATGCCTTTGCTTGTGCTGTCAGCTCCACCTGGGACCCCTTTCATCATTTTTCTTCCTATTGGTTTCCAACTTTTCTCTTAACGTCCAACCCCAATGCTCCTGCATTCACCACATATCTATAGGGTATCTACCAGGTGCCAGCAGCTGTTCCTGGCATGGGGACATAGCACACAAAATCCTTGTCCACAGGGAGCTCACATTCTGGTGGCTTACTGTTCAAGCCCTGGGTTCATTCTGCCCAGAATCATAGCCAACTGTGTTCATATCAGTCCCCTCTGCTAGTCGGTAAGCTCCAAGTGCATAGGGCCTGTGACCCCTTCATCTTCCTATGCCACTCAGACTGAGGCAGAGGCATGGACAAGGCAGGCACTTGGTCAGTGGCTATTGAATTAAATTGTTCCATTCCATCAAACCCATGCCCTAACCTCTCGGCCCAGCAGACAGCAGCCCCTCACCCCCAGCCGGGCCCATACCTCCTCGGAGTGTCTCGAAACACTCCTGGCTCACAGGCATGGAACTGGGCTTGGAGAGCGTGTCGGAGATGACCTCAACGATGCACTTCATCACCTGGGAAGAGAGGAGGGCAGGTTGGGGCGGGTTTGGGCACGGGACTCAGGCCCTGAAGGCTCCAGCACAAATTTCTAATGAGGACAAAGGGCATTTGCTTTTGTCTTCGGGAGTCCATGGATGCCTGGCTCAGGGGCACGGCTCTGCTTTCTCAGCCAGACAATAATAGCAATGATAAAAGCCTTATATGGTGCTTCTCGTGTGCCAGGTACTCCAATCACCTGCCCAGCAGGTGCCCCTCTAAGGTGGGGATGGGTACCACGGGGTATTAGGAGAGCTGCATCTGGTCTTGGCATGTCCCTAGCTCACTGTGTGACCTTTGGCAAGACATTCAACCTCTCTGGATCTTGATCTCTTTAACAATATCAATGGCAGACTGGACCAGGTGACGTGGAGGACCCCACCTTTTCATGCTCTGATTGAAAGGAAGCAACTGAGCATCAGAGAGAATTAGGACCTTCTCATCCCCCAAGTGATTCTCTATAGATGCGGAAGCTGCTCCCGGGCATCAGACGTATGTCTTGCCAAAGTATAGTAAAACCTTGGTTTGCGAGTAACTTGGTTTGCGAGTGCTCCGCAAGACGAGCAAACGTTTCTAATACGTTTTAACTTGGTAAACGAGCGATGTCTTGCAATATGAGTAGTTTGTTTCCAGAACGAATTATGCTCGCAAACCAAGGTATTACTGTACTTGAGTCTTGCAGATGCCTCAAAGGTGAGCTGTCTCCAGGAAGCCTTTCTGGACTGCCCAGAGGAGAACAAAGACCTCCCCTGGCTCTACCCTGTCTGGAAACAGGACTTGGATCACTGTCTCCTAACATCCACGGTGTTGTCACAAGTAGGAAGTGACGGCCTCATGGTCTGGCTCCATATTCACTCAGGGGAGAAATCCCCTGGCTGGATATGGGGACACATAGGCCACCTCTGGGTGTCCGTTCCAGGCCAACAGCAGCCATATCCTGAAAGTCTTGTCCACTGCCCAGCGAGGGACTGTGGATAATCAGGCACCTGATCAGTGGGTATTTGAAGATGGCGCCAACTGTAATGAGGTGTCCTAGTTGTGTTGTCTCAGAGAGGCGACTTGACCTCTCTGAGCCTCTCAGTTTCCTTATTTGTAAAATGGAAGTGAGAAGAACGTCCCAACTCCCCTCCCGGGATGAAAAGGCATAGATGGGAAAACACTCTATAAAGCATGAAGTGCCACACACACCCAGGGAGGGATACACAACTCCCAGCCTGCTTCAGCTGTCTAGAGCCAGGCAGAAGAGCAGGAGGTGTCAGACGTGCATCAGGCAATACTGGTACGGGGAGAGGGGGTGGAAGGCTGTGTCTATGGGCTGCCAAGGCAACCCGTCCAAGAATCCAGAACAGCAAACTGGCAAATAAGCTCTACAGTTGTCACTGCACCCTACGATGGAACAGTCAGGTCTTACCAGCCGTTCTGGTGCCCTGACCCCAGGCTCCTGAGTACAGCATGGTAACCAAAGTGTCTCTCCTAAGGGGCCTGGCAAGGAGGGCCCTGCAGCCTGACCTCTGTCTCCCTGCAACCCCAGACCTTGCCTGGGAATATCAGAATAACCACCAGTCCATGAGGATGCATTCTGGGAGACAGGAATGGAATATGGGTCCCAAGAACAATGGGGAGACCAAGAAGGGAAGCTCTAGAAATAACAGTGCCTGTTTATTGAGGACTGTGTGCCAGGCACCTGACATCTATGATTCCTACTCCTCACAACTCCCCTCAAGGGAAATATTATTAGAGATTGGAAAAGAAGAAGCTCAGAGAAGTCAGGCAATTTCTCCAAGACCACACAGCTACAATGAATGGTAGAGGTTTAAATACAGGCCTGTCTGCAACTAACGAATAGGAAATATAATTGAGCAAATTGAGGTTGAAATTGCTTTGATGCTTTGGTTTTTCACCATAGCCTCCCTGGAATGGAAGAAAACAGCTCCTGGAAAGGTGGGGAGTAGAAATTTCTCTGACTCTCAAGTGGGGTTATCTGTGAGCACCAGAGACTAGAAAAACAGCCTCACCTCAGACACGAACAAATTTCAAGTGTACACCCAACATGGAGTGTCTCTTGCTGGCTACAGAACCCTCCACTAGTGTCTCCTAAGTCCCTTTCCTGGGTGACATCCACCATCAGTGCTAACTGGCCAGGACCCTGGGTGCAGCAGCCATGACCAAGAGTGTTTTCATTGTGGCCCGTTGGGAGAGCTAGGGCTTGAGTGCCTGTGGGGTGGGGGTGGAGTATTGTTGACAGATACTCAGGGGGAGGGGAATAGTAGCAAAGGGAGAGGCCAGAGCTAGGCAGGTGAAGACCATTCTCAAAGGTCTGTGGACAACTACAACCAGAGCAGCCCCCCAGCAGCCCTCGGTGGGCATGCCAGATTTGGAATATTTAAGGCAGTGGGCTCAGGAAGCAAGACATAGGCCCCACCGGGCTGCAGACTCAGCTCAGAGGAAGCTGGGGAAGTGCCCCCAGCAGGACGGCAGGACAATCAAGCAATCTTTGATATCTTCTTTTGCAAGCCATCCCCAGGCTCAGCAGCCGCAGTGCTGACTCTTGGCTTTATGCCAAACTCATTCCTGCAGCTGCCCAAGAACTGGATGTGAGCCATCCACTGGGGCCTCTTACCCCCCATCCTGGGGCATCCCCGTACCCCTCCTTACCTCTGTGTCCCCTTTATTCATAGGGCTATTCACAGGGAGGGCAATGACTGGAAAGAAAAAGAGAGACCTGGGGTCACTTCTCTGCTCTCAGGGGAGAGCCCATCCCTTCCTGACCAGGCTCATCGGGGGCCCATTCACCCCTGTGCTCCCCCTCAAAACTGCCCCCACCCAAATTAGATGCCGGGGCTGGTTTTGTTTCTATTCCCTGGCTGCTGCTTCAAGGGGGTGTCTCCCAGAGGCTGCACTGAAAGCCTTAACCCTCCCCTTTGGGAAAGCGCCTGCTCTGGGGGTGGCCGTGGGAGCTGAAAGCAAGTGTTGTGAAAACAAGGCCAAGGGCTGAACAGGATTGGGGTTGGGGAAGAATGCAGGGAGAGTTCCCAGAGGTGAGGAAAAAGAGATGGAGGAGGAGGACTGCGAAAGGGATACTGAGAGGTAGAAGTCAAGAGCAGACAGACAGGGAGAGCGGGAGGATGGAAAAGGGATAGAGGCGAGAAGGGGAGCTAGCAGCAGCCCTCCCATCTCCCCTGATGACCTTGGCCAGCCAGGGCACGGAGCCGGCGCTGGCCCTGATACAGCCCAGACGCCGAGCCCAGACATGAGGTGCAGGCACCAGGGGGCCCTGCCTCGCGGGGTTGGGAGTCGTCCCCAAAGAGTCCTGTCTGCCGGTTCTGAGCTGAGGACGCTTTGCGGGGTCAGGAGGGAGGCGGAGGCGCTGTCCGCGGTGCTGAAAACTCGCCGTGCCGGAGGAGAGGTCTGGAGGGGCGCGCAGCGCTGCGTGGTGCCTGGACCTCAGGGCAGGCGGGACAAGAGCAGGCAGGGATGGGCAGTGGGACCCAGGGCCCTCTCCCCCGAGACTCCGCGCTCGCTCACCTTGCTCGGCGCAGAGTAGAAGCGCCAGGACAGCGGCGGAGCGCATGGCGAGCCCGGGGCGCCGAGCAGCTGGAGGTCTGGGGCTGGACACCGCGGGCACCCGAGCGAGGGGTGGCTGGACCGGCGGGGCAAGGCGGGTTACCGCGGCGTTGGTGCAGGGATGGGGGTCGCAGCGTCTCAGTGTACTTCCGTCTGTCGGTCCGCCCACCAGCCTCGCTGCACTGAGTTCGGACACTTCAGCAGCAGCAGCAGCAGCAGCAGCGCTCGCGCGCGCCCTGCTTATATACCCCCGACCCCGGAAATGACGTCATCGGGCCGCCCCTGCCCCTTTCCCCACCCCTCCGGGGGTCCCGCTGCAGTTCGCTCCACCGGCAGCCACACTACTCTTGCTTCTGGCTCACAGCTAGTGGTCAGGTTATGAAGCGGGTGTTTGGCTTCCAGGAGATGGCACGGGAGACTCGGCTGCTCCTCCACCCCTCGACGGCTCCACCGACTTGCTGTGTGTCCGTGGGCAAGTCACTCCCCGTCTCTGGGCCTTGTGTTCCTCCAATGTACACTGAGGCCCCTGCCAATCCTAGCGCACCACTCCATGCTCCCTCTGCCCTGGGCGCTTCCCCTGATCTCACAGGCTGGAGGCGTGCTCGCCATTCAGGGCTCCCTCAAATTTCTAGGAGGCCCTAGAGAGGCCTCCTGACCCCCTGTCTGAGGAAGGCCTCTCTGTAATCCGGTTTTGTGCCTCACAATTTCTAATTGTATCATATGTGTATTTATTTATTTGAATAATGTTAGGCTCCATTGCTTTCACAGTGCTGAGCACAGCACTTGGCAGAGTTAAACACACTTAATAGATAACTGTTGAATATACTGATTAGACGTTCAACCCATAGGTAAGTGAATGGTGGGCTCTGGCCATTGTTGGGACAGTTCTCGTGGGGGCTGATGAGGGAGATCAAACCAACATAGGAGTTCTTATAACTTCTCATTAGCCCTAGTTCAACCCCTTAGTACCACCTTCTTGCGGCTTGTAACCCATTGCGTATTTGAGAACAGCTTTCACCTCTTTCTGAGTGTTCTCAAAATCTGAGTGTTTTGTGTGAAAGGTTGGTTTCTTTTTTTTTTTTAAGATTTTATTGGGGAATTGGGGGAGGGGAACAGACAAGTTGTTGTCCTTTTTATTCTTCAGTCTAGTTGTGGAGGACGTTGCTTCACTGGCCCATGTTGGTATTGTGATCATTGCGCTCTTTCCAGGTGAGGCAGATTGGTCGCTGGCCTCTAGACAGCAGCTCATGGCATCTCACGCCTGCTGCCGGCCACTCAAGGTAGCTTATGGCAGCCCACTGCAGCAGGGGCTGCAGCCTACGCCGTCGCTGGCAACTCATGGCAGCCCAGCTCCAGGTCGAGCTGTTGTTCACCATCTTAGCTGTAGAGGGCGCAGTGTCACTGGCCCTCATGTGGGATCTGAACCGGGGCCCTGCTGCTCAGTGCTGGCGTCCCAAGCCAGCGCTTAACCAACGCGCTACTCGGCCGACCCGAAAGGTTGGTTTCTTGATTTGTTTCCCTCTGCCCATGCTTGGCCATATTGCTGCTCTCAATCTGGGGGCCACATCAGAAATCCTTTGCCACCTGACCCTAATGTCACAGTGAACCTGTTATCTGGGCTACTGTTTGGCACAGGTTGGCATCGTCTAGAGCCCCTTCCTTCCCGGGGAAGCCCCATCTCCTGCTGCTATCTCCTACTTCCTGCCCCACACCTGTACCCACTCCTACCCCTAACAGATAACCTGGCAGGAGCTCAGAGATGAAATGGTCTTGTCCATGCATTTATTCATTTCTTCAACTATTTGTTAGGCACCTACTATGTGCTTAGAACACCTTAGACCATCACTCAGCTGTTCTAGGTGCTGCAGATGCAGCAGTGAACAAAACAGACAAAAGCCCAGTTCTTAGGGATTTTATATTCTAAAGGGTGAAGACAGACAATAGATAAGTAAAGAAGTAAAATGCACAGTATGTGAGGTAGGGACAAGTGCTATGGCAAACAGGAAGCAGGGAAGGGGTTGGGTGTGCTAGGAGAGCGGGTGTTGTATTTTAAATTATACTTTAAATAGGGTGGATCTGAGGAGGGCTCCCCCAGGAGGGGACGTTTCAGCAAAGACCTGAAGTTGGTGAGAGTGGGGGTTGCTGGTGTTCAGGGAAGAAGGCTCCAGATAGAGGGAACGGAAGGCAAGTGCAAATGCCTGAGGGAGAAATGCGCCTGGTGTGTTCAAAGAATAGCGAGGAGATAGAGTGGAAAGGGCCTGGAATATATAGCTGAACAATAACACATAGTCCATGTCGAAAACTCGGAAATGCACAGAAATGCACCTGTACTCATGCCACCCTGAGGTAAGCATCGGTCATTTAAAAGTGTATGTTCTATAGTCTTAGTTGAGGTGGCTCCCTTCATAAAGAGCCGTTCCCAGTGACAGACTTCAGTGCAGCGCTGAAGGAATAAGTGCTCCAGGCCCTTCTGTTGTGGGGCCACCCTGAGTGTCCTGCACAGATTTGCAACATGCTTCCTCTGCAGCGTCATCTCATGAAGACTGACCTGTGTCATCAGTATAGCGGTCCGCCACCATTTATTGTGTGCCACAATTTGTAATACACAGATGAGTTTCTATTTTTTGTTGTTGCTCTTATAAAGGACAATCTTGTACACAAACCTCTGCACCATCTGCAATGATTTCATTGAATGGTAGGTGAATTCCTTGGTCCAAGAAAATGGACATTTTGGGGCTGGCCGAGTGACTCAGTTGGTTAAGACTTGGCTTAAGAGCGCGAGCTCTGACCAACAGGGCCGCTGGTTCGATTCCCACATGGGCCAGTGAAGCTGCGTCCAAGATGAGCTGTCGCTGAACTGCCAGCTGGTGGCTGGATGGCTCAGCTGGTGTAACAACAAGATTGCCTTTTCAATGGTGGCCTACACCCACCCGCAACTAAGACTGAACTTGGCACCTTGAGCTGAGCTGCCGCCCGGATGGCTCAGTGGATAGAGCGTGTACTCTTAACAACAAAGCTGCTGGTTCGGCTCCCGCATGGGATGGTGGCTACGCCCACCCGCAACTAAGATTGAACACAGCACCTTGAGCTTAGAGGCCACGAGCTGCCAACGGGAAGCCAGATGACGACTGGCGCCCTCCACAATGAAGACTGAAGAACAACAACTTGGCTGGTCCCCTTCCCCAATTCCCCAACACTCTTCCCCTCCCCCAATTCCTCAATAAAATCTTTAAGAAAGGAAGGAAAGAAGGAAGGAAGGAAGGAAGGAAGGAAGGAAGGAAGGAAGGAAGGAAGGAAGGAAGGAAGGAAGGAAGGAAGAAAATGGATGTTTGTAAGGCACTTGATATGTATTGCCCAAGTGCCATGAAGAAAGTTAAACTACCTTCTATGGTGAGTGGGCTTTTCTCATGAGGAGTTTCAGCGTCTCTGACATCCTCCCAAGAGCACCAGCTCTCCAGGAGCCTTGTCATGAAACCGAGCATTACCAACCAGCAAAATTGTCCCAAACTAGACTTTACAAGTGACAATGCCAGTATGTAGCATTTGCACTGTGCGTTATAGCTGTTCAAAAGACTCCATAATTGACCCCTTACAGCACCCCTAGGCCTAAATTAGAGAGGAATTTTGATCCTGCTTTGCAGAGAAACTGCAGAGACCCAGGATGTTAAAGTGAGCACCCAAGGTACCACATGGCAAATGAATGGGGAAGTTGGACCTAGAGTTTGTTTTGCCCAAATGCCCCATGTTTTCTGCCATCTCATGACTTCTCACATGCTGTTACCTCTCCCTGGAGTCCCTCCCAGTTACCACCCCACTCCCTCCCCTATGGCCTGGCAAACTTGCATACCTTTTAGGACCTGAGGTAATTGCTTTCTTCTCTGCCTCCACAACCGTTATTTGAGCATTTATCACAGAAGGTTGAAATTAGTTGCTTTTAGAGCCTTCTGTCTCATTACACTTTGAGCTCCTTTGTGTTTGGTCTGCATCCCGCCCATCTTGGGACTTCGGTTTCTGGCGTCGTGCTGGGCACATGGTAGACACAATGGACAAATGAAAGAAGGAAGAAACTCACATCCCTCCATCCCATCTTTGGGCTTTGGGCTGGATCAGTTAGGTAAGGATAAGCTTCCGAAGCAGAAGACCCTAAAATACAGTGGGATAAGATGGGTCTGATTTCTCTCACACACAACAGCCCCGGAGCGAATGGTCCAGACTCATGGAGTGGGTCCACATGAGGTTTCCATATTTGATATCAAGGCAGCTACTCCACTGCCGCCATTTCTCAATCATCACCTAGAGGGCAAAGGGTAGATTCAGGCCAAGCGGCTTCTTCATAAGGACATGATGGATAACTTGCATGCATCCCTTATCACAACCCGTTGGCCAGGACTTGGGCATAGGGACACACCTAGTTGTAAGGGAGGCTAGGCAGCCACTGGGGGTGATTCTGATTACTAAAGGAAGAAGGGATACTGGAGGACAATGAGCACTCTCTACTACACAACCCATGGGGATGATGACAACAACTAACCCTTGTGGAAGACTTGCTAAGAACCAGGCACTGTCTTAAGAGTTTTACATTACAGCCCTATGAGGTAGGTGCCATTATTATACTTGTTTGCAGATGGAACTCTACAAGAGAATTAAGTCTAAATGCCCTTAGGCATTCATCATATGTAATGAGTTAGTGTCTCTTGCGTGCATCTAGAATGGTACTAGTTATGCACTATCGTTGGGAGAATTGAGAAAATAGTCACTCGAATAATTTCTGTGTTGTGTGATTTTGATGAGGAACCCTGTGTGGCGCTGTTGATGGGTCCCTTTCAAGGCACCCGACACTGGGTTTGACGCTTGTGTTTGTTTGGGTTCCCCCAAAAGCAGACCCTAAGACAAGGGTTTGGGAGTGCAAAGAGTTCCAGGAAGTGATTCCAGGAAGCACAGTAAGCGGGTGGGGAAGTGAGATGAGGAAAAGAGAAAAGCCAAAGATGAAAGAGTGTGTTGATACGCGCGTCAGCACTGAGGGCAGTGGAGACTCAATCTAGCTGGAACTTGTTGAGAAACTGTGGACCACGCCTCAGAATTGTTCCACTGGGGAAAATAAGGTGGGCCACGGACCTGCTGGTTCCTTTCCCTCATTGGGGGTCTCTCCTGGAGGCATTGATTTACCAACGCTTCTGGTCTGCTCTGTGAAAGGGCCAAGCAAACCCCCACTTGCCAGAGAACACCCTCAGGCAGAGA